TCCACCATGATGGTAGGAGAGAGATTATCTCTATCTAGTTATCTCTATATCACCACCATGATGGTAGGAGAGAGATTATCTCTATCTAGTTATCTCTATATCGCCACCATGATGGTAGGAGAGAGATTATCTCTATCTAGTTATCTCTATATCTCCACCATGATGGTAGGATAGATTATCTCTATCTAGTTATCTCTATATATCCTTACCATGATGGTAGGAGAGAGATTATCTCTATCTAGTTATCTCTATATCTCCACCATGATGGTAGGAGAGAGATTATCTCTATCTAGTTATCTCTATATCTCCACCATGATGGTAGGAGAGAGATTATCTCTATCTAGTTATCTCTATATCTCCACCATGATGGTAGGAGAGAGATTATCTCTATCTAATTATCTCTATATCCTTACCATGATGGTAGGAGAGAGATTATCTATATCTAGTTATCTCTATATTCTTACCATGATGGTAGGAGAGAGATTATCTATATCTAGTTATATCTATATCTCCACCATGATGATAGGAGAGAGACTATCTCTATCTAGTTATCTCTATATCCTTACCATGATGGTAGGAGAGAGATTACCTATATCTCAAATCAAATCAAATCAAATCAAATTTGATTGGTAACATGCGCCGAATACAACAGGTGCAGACATTACAGTGAAATGCTTACTTACAGCCCTTAACCAACAGTGCATTTATTTTAAACAAAAAAAGTAAGAATAAAACAACAACAAAAAAGTGTTGAGAAAAAAAGAGCAGAAGTAAAATAAAGTGACAGTAGGGAGGCTATATATACAGTAAAATAAAGTGACAGTAGGGAGGCTATATATACAGTAAAATAAAGTGACAGTAGGGAGGCTATATATACAGTAAAATAAAGTGACAGTAGGGAGGCTATATATACAGGGGGGTACCGTTGCAGAGTCAATGTGCGGGGGCACCGGCTAGGTTGAGGTAGTTGAGGGTGGTAATATGTACATGTGGGTAGAGTTAAAGTGACTATGCATAAATACTTAACAGAGTAGCAGCAGCGTAAAAAGGATGGGGTGGGGGGGGCAGTGCAAATAGTCTGGGTAGCCATGATTAGCTGTTCAGGAGTCTTCTAGCTGTAGTTATCTTTGTCTATATCATGATGGTAGTTAACTCGATCTATCCTTTGTCAAAGTCACTCAGCGCCACCGTGATAGAAATATATAATATCTCTCTATCTTCTTTGTCAGCACTGGCATGATGGTATTATTCTATTATTTTATTTACCAACGATCCCTGTCATGGGGGTTCTCTCCTTTTTATCTCATCTACGACAGGAATTTAAAAAGGGTTTCATTAACAGTATCTCTTTTCATTCCATCTAAGACAGGGTATAAGGGTTTTATTTACAATCCTCTATTATCCTATCTACAGACAGGAAATTTAAAGGGTTTCAAACAGTATCCTCTTTCATCTTATCTCGACTTTTTAAGGGTTTTATTAACGTATCTTTATTCATCTCTACTAAGAAGGGTATAAAAGGTTTATTTTACAGATCTCTCTTTTTCTCTTTTAAGACAGGAATATAAGGGTTTATTATACAGATCTTTATTATCTTATTACAGAAGGATATAAGGTTTCATATACAGTCCCTCTATTTCATCTCTATCTAAGACAGGTATAATGGGTTTATATACAGTATTTTCTATAATCTCTATTACGACGGATTAATGGGGTTTTATTAAAGTATCTCCTTATTAATCTCTTTTACAGACAGGATAAAGGGTTTCAGAGGTACAGAGTACGTTTTCTTTTGTCTAGGATTTATATTATTATATTTTGGGGCCCCCCCGGGGGTGTGCCGGGGTGCCACATTTTAGGCCAAAGTTACACCTTTATAGGGAATGCTGGTTGTTTGGGGGGGGGGGGGGGGGTTAGGTGGCCCCAGCACCAGGAGCTTCAGTACACCATGATGAAAAAATTACCACAGAAAAGGGGGGAAAAAAAAAAAAAAAAAAAAAAAAAAAATTTTTTTTTTTCTCTTCTCTCCTTTTCTCTCTTCTTTTTCCTTTTTTTTCTTCCCTTTAACTCCAGGGGGAAAAAGGGGGGCCCCCCCCAAAAAAAAAGGGGGGGGGGGGGTTTTTTTCCCCACAATTTCCCGGACAGGAGTCAGGGGACCCTGTTGGTGGGGTCGCACTACAGTAGGTTGTAACCCCCAAATGAGCACGACCCCCCACAAGCACAGACACCCCTAAAAGTTTTTAACCAATTTGGACGGTTTTGGAAGAAAACAACAAAGGAGGGAGACAAAAACAAGGGGAAGGAGAAAAAAAAGACAAGAACAGACCACGCAAAGTTTTTTTTAAGAAGAGAGGGAAACAAAAACCCCCCCCCCCCCCCCCCCCAAAAAAAACCCCCCAAAAAAAAAACCCCCCCCCCCGGGCCCCCCCCCCCCCCTTTTTTTTTTCCCCCCCCTCCCCCCCGCCCCCCCCCCCCCCCCCCCCCAAAAAATTTTTTTGGGAAAGCCCATCCCCCGGTTTTTTTCCCATTTTCGCCAAAAGTCCTGCTGGTTTTTTAGAGAGATCTTCTCTATCTCTTTTTTCCCCTCTTTCTCTATCTTTCTCTCTCAGCGCTTCTCTCTCCCTCTCTTTTCTCCCTCTCTTTCTAAAGGACAGGGGGTCGTGGGGGACCCTGTTTGGGGGGGTCGCGGGACGGGGATCAGCAGGTGGTTTAAACCCCAAACGAGCATCATGGGGCCTCACTCACAGAGTTCAGCAGTATTTACCGATAGAGCTGCTACCCGGTTGCCGTGTTAGTCGGGCAAGAAACTATTACAAGGGGCATCAAAGGGATGGAAAGACACACACACACATGCATCACGGGCTAGCAGACCCAACAACCACACAGGGCACAGGGCTCCCCAAGTAGTTTTTATCCCTGTAATAATGAAAGACGGTTTATAAGAAGAAGCCCCAAAGGGGGAAGAGAAAAGGGAAGCGGAGCCGAAAGAAAGGAAAAAGAGAAGAAAGAAGCGGGGGCGCTCCGGGGGAAAGGGGAGGGGGTTAACTAAAAAAAAATATCCTTCCTTTCCCTCGAATTTGCCCATCCATTTAAAATCTAATACTCTAATCCCCTTTTTTCCCTCCCAAACCTCTCCCCCTCCCTTTTTGGGGGGTTCACCAAACCTTCCTTCCCTTCCCTTCCATTCCCCTTTTCCTTTCCCCCCCCTCTCCCTCCCCCCTTTCCCCGGACCCGGGGAAAGGCCCAAACAGCCAAAAAGGTGTTGCCGGGGAGGGTTTCCTTTTTCCCGGACCCAACCCACACACCCACCAAAACCCAACCACACCCCCCCAAAATACCACACCACAAAAACCCCACACACACACACCAGTTCCAATGAGGGGGGTACGATACCACACCACACCAGGCTATTCCCCCAAAGGGCCGGGGCCTTTTAGTCAATTAAGGGAAATTTAAAAGGGGGCATTTTTTTCAATAAAGTTTTTAATTGTTTAGTTGAAAATTTGCCATGCATTGAATCAGTTTAGGTTTTCAATATTTAGATGTTGAAGAGGGAAATTTTAAGGAGAAAGTAGAATTTGGGGTATCTGTGGGGGGGCAGAAGGGAGAACAGGTTTTGGGATCGTGGTCAGAAGTAGGGAAATAGGTTTTTTCTGTTTTAGGGCAGGAGAACTGGTTTGTAAACTGTGGTTTTGGACGTAGAACAGGTTGGGATTGTGGGGCCCGAGGTAGAATGGTTTTATCTGGGGTTTTGACAGTTTGAAACTAGGTTGTATCTGTGTTCAGACAGATAGAACTAGGGTTGTAATGTGTTTCAGACAGTTAGAACTAGGTTGGTATCTGTGAGTGTAGACAGTAGAACTAGGTTGTATTCTGTGTGTCAGACAGTAGGAACTAGGTTGTATCTGCTGAGTCAGCAAGTAGAACTAGGTTGTATCTGGTGTCAGACAGTAGAACTAGGTTGTATCTGTGGTCAGACAGTAGAACTAGGTTGTATCTGTGAGTCAGGACAGTAGAAACTAGGTTGTTGTCTGTGGCAGGTCAGGAACTAGGTTTATCTTGAGTCAGACAGTAGAACTCGGTTGTATCTGGAGTTTCAGACAGTTAGAACTAGGTTTGTACGGTGTTTCATGACAGTTAGAACTAGTTGGATCTGTGCTTTCAGCAGTAGAATAGGTCTGTTCGGGTTTCAGACAGTAGAACTAGGGTTGTATCTGTGGAGTCAGACAGTAAGAACTTAGGTTGTTATCTGTGAGTAGACAGTAGACTAGGTTGGTATCTGTGTGTCGGAGAGTGCAGTATATACTGTAAGCTGATAGATAATTAAATCATGAATATCATTATGTTATGTGTTACAAGGTTTCATGTTCTCATGGTGTGTGTGTGTGTGTGTGTGTGTGTGTGTGTGTGTGTGGTGTGTGTGTGTGTGTGTCCATAGGCTATGTGTCGCGGTGTGGCAGTGACTCGGACGATTCCTCAGACATGGACACCCTCATCTCCCTTGTATCCCATAACAACAAGCGGACCGCATCAGACCCTGTCGGTCTACGACGCATTATGGAGGAGAAAGAGGAGAGAAAGAGAGGAAGGAGAGAGAGGAGAGGAAAAAGAAGGAGAAAGAGGGGAACGAGAGAAAGGAGAAGAGAGAAGGAGAACAAGAGAAAAATATGAAATACGGAACTATGTCTCCACAGAGAAAAAACAGAGAGAACGAGAGAATAGAGGAGAAGGTGGGAGGAGTAGGGGACCAGAGAAAGAAAGACACTGAAGCAGGAGGAGAGGAGAAGTCTGAGAAACAACTAGGAGCAGAGAACAGAGGAATGCAGGAGGACGACAGAGAAAGAGAGAATGAAAGAGGAGAGGAGGAGAGCGGAGGAGGGGAGAGGAGAGGAGAGGAGGAGAGAGGAGGAGGGGACAGGAGAGGAGAGGAGGAGAGAGGAGGAGGGAACAGGAGAGGAGAGGAGGAGAGAGGAGGAGGGAACAGGAGAGGAGAGGAGGAGAGAGGAGGAGGGGAGAGGAGAGGAGAGGAGGAGAGAGGAGGAGGGGAGAGGAGAGGAGAGGAGGAGAGAGGAGTAGGAGAGGAGGAGAGAGGAGGAGGGAACAGGAGAGGAGAGGAGGAGAGAGGAGGAGGGGAGAGGAGAGGAGAGGAGGAGAGAGGAGTAGGAGAGGAGGAGAGAGGAGGAGGGGAGAGGAGAGGAGAGGAGGAGAGAGGAGGAGGGGAGGTTCGGAGAGCTACGACAGAAGAGCACCCGTCCGTATCAGAGGAGGCATCAGACTCGTGTCGTACTGACTCTCGTTTCATGACCAGCATCTCCAGTGACTCCCTGGATGCTCTGGAGGAGGATGACCTGATCGCCTGCTCCTCCTCCCTCCCTCACCCTCCCTTCCGCCTCACAGTGGAGCCCCCCCACCCCCAGCCTCACCCACGAGGGGGTGCATCCTCACCCCGAGGAGGGGCAGGAGAGTGGAGAGGAGGAGGAGGGAGGAGAGGAGGGGGAGGAGGGAGGAGATCGGGCAATGGAGCCGGGGTCGACCCCCACTATTCTCCAATGACCCCTGACCCCGTGAACTCTGAACGTGTGACCCCCGTGGTTGACCCCTCTGAGAACCTGAACTATGCTGAGCTCTCTCTCATGCTGGAGTACCTCCCCAGTCCTCCGGAGGCCAGCGACGATGAGGAGGAGGAGCAGAAGAGGGAAGAGAGGAGGAGGACGAGTGATGAAGGAGGTGGACAGGAGTTATTTTCCGTATCCGGACGTCCCCGTTCCTCCTCCTCCTCCTCACGTATGGACTGTGTGTTTACCTTCGAGCAGAGCGATTGCAAGGTGTTACTACAATATCTGCCCTAACGTTACCCCCGACAGCGCATGCAGCCTCACCCACCCTCACCCTAAGGCTGAGGAAGAGGAGGGTGGTGGTGGTGGTGAGGAAGAGCAGGGGGCGGTCCTGACCCTGGAGCCCGTGCCCATCCTCCAGCCGCCGCCAGGGTTCGGAGACAGCAGTTCTGACGAGGAGTTCTTTGATGCGAGGGATCGGTTCGCCTCGCCTGAAGACCCAACATCAGGGACTGTGTCCAGAGGTGTGTCAGGGTTATTACTGTACTGTAATGTATAATAGTTAGTTCCCTCTTAGATGCCTAGAGGTTGGTAGTGTTATGAACTTTATTGCACTAGGTTCGATATTGTGTTAACAACTTAACAGCTTTAGTTTTTTAAGTGTTAACTTGAAGAACTGAAACTTGTCATATTAGATCAAACTGTGAGAAGCATAGTGCATATTCTCCAGTTAATTAGTGATATATAAAGAGAGATTAATGAGATTAAATGGATGAAAGGTTTTAATTCCTGATGACCTGAGGTCAATACATAGCTGGGAAGCATTTAAATATGTTAGGTTTGTTCAGATTTCTTTAGTCACATAAAGTTGTCATTTGTTTTCAGATTTTTCAGCCGAGATGGCAAGCGGAATGGCACAGCAAACAGTGAGCCTGAGTGACATCAGAATCAACCTGACGGAAGGAGGGAGTGATGAACGAGAGGAGGGTAGAGAGGGAGAGACTACGGAGGAGGAGAAGGAGGACGAGGCAGAGAGATGTTCTCCAGGCTCTCTAGGAAAAGATCGAAGAAACGGCGTTCCTTCATGCAGACTGACTTCACCTCCACAGTCTCCTACCCTGGACCGGACCAAAACCAGGAGCGGAACTGGGACTGGAACCCAGATCACGTTCCTGATCAGTATCCGGACCGGGTACAGAACCGGACAGAGAGCTCAGACGAAAGCCAGCTGCTGAGTTTGGACCCAGAACCCTCTGAGCAGAGCCAGAACCCATGTCCTACTGTCTCCTCTCTGAGCCACACTGAGGGGGAGGCATTCCAGCTCGAGTCCAAGCCTATCCTCACCAAGCCCACCCGAGAGGGGTCCCACCAGGGACCTGGAGATCCACGGGCGCCTGATAACCCGAAGGCTGAACTCCATAGGAGCTCCAGGAGCAGGCGGAAGTCCATGGAGACAGAGCCCGACGTGATGGAGTCCAAATCGGTCACGGCCCTGGTGACGGCAGCCTCCTCCTCCATCACGGCTGTACGCTGTAGAGTAGAACCAGACGGCAAGGAGAGCACTGATCGGAGAGGAGACGGGGAGGAGGGAGAGATGGAGGAAGAGGAAGGGGGTGGAGAAGCAGGGGCAGGACCGTTCACATGTCACATGTTTCTGACTGAGATTAAGGAAGAGGAGGGGGAGAGGGGGGAGGAACTGGGGGAGGAGGGGGAGAGAGACAGAGAGAGGAGACAGCCCTCACTCATTTCTGAAGGTCCACCCTCCGTTAGGGGGTCCCAATTTAGTAGACGACCTCTGTGTCTAACGAAAGACGAGGGTCAGGAAGCTTATTTCATACCCCAAATAAGTATCTCCCATCCAGGTGTGTATGGGAGGGACATAGGGGGTGAACAGGACGTGGCTGGTGGTGAGGAGAGCGTGACTCCCCTTCCGGCTCCTCCTCCCCCAACCTCTCCACTACCACCTCTCCCAGCCCCCTCCATCCCCCACACGGAGAGGGGAGAGAGGGATAGCGAGGATGTGGATGTGGGGTCCCAACCCAAACCCTTCACACTCTCAGACAGAGAGAAGGACAATAGCTGCTTGACTCAAGTCCATAGAAAACTCACTATCAGTCACCAGGACCTGACAAGCATAGTGAAAGCAGAAAACTAACAAAGATGAAGCTATAGTTCGCACTAATTCTGTTTACTGATAACACTGATGTTGCTACGGCTAACATTGTAGCTACAGCCAGCATTCATTCTGTCATGGCTAACACTGAGGCTACAGCTAGCTCTGACTCTGATTTAGCCACTGCTAATCACAAAGATTCAAATAGCATCAAATCTGTTATGGCTAACACTATAGCTAACACTAACATTGATTTAGCTACTGCTAACTCTGATTTTGCTATGGCTAACGATGAAGCTAATGCTATAATGAATTCCCCTACACCTAGCACTGATTCTACAGGTAATGCTAACTTAGCTATGACTAATGCTAATTCAGCTAATGCTAACTCAGCTATGGCTAACATTCCCAAAGAGTCTCCCATATCACCTACAACAGGATTCCTCCTCCGGCCTTGCTCACCGGGCATCATCGGCCAAAGCCTCTCGGCCTCCACATTACGGGGGAAGATCCAGAGCCTGCCCCTCTATTTATCTCGCTCCCAGGAAACCCTCACCCTCTCTGGGGTGGGCAGCACCACCAGGAGCCCCTCTCAGGAGCCCACCAGCGACAAGACTGAGGTAACGGTCACAACCGAAACCGCCAAGGACGACGATGTCACAGCGGTGGTGACAGTGGAGGATTCGAAAGATTCCGGGGTGGCGTTGGCGGAGTCGGATGATTCCGAGGTCACGCTGACGGAATCGGAGGTTGGCGAGGTTGTCGTGGAGACGGCCGGGGCGGAAATCACGAGGTTGACGGTGTCGGAGGTCAAGGAGGTGGTCGAGAAGGTTGTGATGGTCTACGGATCCTCCCCTCCTCCTCCTTTAGCATCCATCTCTGTAGAGCCCAAACCAGAACCCAAAATGGTTGCCAAGTTGCCTACCTGTCCCATTGCTACAGTGGAAACCACCCCTCCTATGGCTACAGCACCTATCTGTCTGGAGCCCATACCAGTCTCTGAACTACTCTCCCCAAGCCCCACTATCCACAAAATGGCCGCCCCATTACCTTCCTGTCCTTCCTCTCCTGTGCCCATACGCGTAGAGCCCAAACCAGAACATGAATCACTATCCATACGCTCCAAAATGGCCACCTTATCGTCCTCTTGTCCCCCTGCTTTAGTGGTAACCACACAGAGTCTGAATTCCCCTTCTTCTAATCCTCCCCCAATCAGAGTAGAACCCAAGACAGACCCTTGCCCTGAACCACTATCCCTAGACCCCAAAATGTCCTCTCCGTTGTCTTCCTGCCCCTCTGCTATAGTGGTGACCACACAGAGTCTGAATGGACCGGGGCTCAGCTTCCCTGGTTATAACATGAGAGGACGGCCATTCGGGGGAAACAGCTTCTGTAAACCCCCAGGGGAGGAGGCAGGCCTGCTGAACTCCCTGACTACAGGCTGTGGGGTCTTCACCTCCACCTGTGAGACCCAGCCCAACCAGGCCCACATGGAATCCTACCCGCTGGAGAAGCCTGACTTAGGGTGTAGTTCGGTGCTGGTGTCGGGGTGCGAGGCGGTCCTGGAGGGGGTGCAGACGCCCCTGGAGGCATGCAGGTGTCCGCCACCGCTAGTTTATAACAACTGTTTCAGTGGGGGTGACAGCTTCGACGATGAGTTGACAGTTTACGAGTTCTCCTGCCGGACAAGTTCTCCTCCCGCCTCCCAACCCTCTTCCTCTGCGCTGGCCCTCCCTCTCTCTCCTCTCTCCTCCTTCCTCTCCTCCTCCCCTCCCTCCTCTCTCCTCTCTCCCTCCTTCCCTCGCTCTGTCATGCCCCCATCCTCCTCCATGGAGCTCTCCCCTATTCTCTCCCCGCTCCTCTCCCCATCCAACTGCTTCTTGTCCCAGTCCAGTCTCCAGGACGATATCGGCCGACTACGCCACCGCCGCTTCCCACCGCCCCCAGCAGGGTTCCAGACTATCCGGAGCGACGTGGACGAGCTTATCACCCTCCTGCAGGGAGGGAGGATGGGGGGGAGAGGGGGGAGGCACCCAAGGGAGACCTGCGCCACCCACTTCTCAGAGAACAAGCGTCTTCTCCACGGGGAGGCCCGGAGGCTGATGGCCGGCTGTCAGAAGGTGGTCCGGGTGGGGCAGACCCCGGACGAGATGCTCTTGTCCCTGTCCGACAGCTTCAAGACCCTGGTGGGCATGGCCGGCATGTGCCTGTGGTTCTCCGGGTGCGACCGGTGCGACCGGAGGAACGCTGAGGCGCTGGCTGGGCTGGCGGACGTGGCCAGGACGTACCGGGAGTTTGTGCTGGCAGCGGAGAGGGCAAGCGGGAGGCGGAGCTGTCATGACCTCAGCACCAAGCTCCTTGCCAAGCAGTGTACTGCCCTCACTGCTTCCGTCTTCTGCCTCACACAGCTGTTCCGCACACTCACCGCCCTCTGAACTGAACCAATGATCTCTGACCCCTATAACAACCTATCGGTTGACCTTTCAACTCTGACCTCTAGACCCACTACACAGGGTCGCCAGACAATCAGTCAGTCATCCGGCTGAGTGGGGAACAAATGTCTGAACTGGAACAAGTCCACGTAGAGAAGAAGAAGAAAAAGAAGAAGCACAATTGAAAGGAGAGAGAGATGAGACTGATGAAACAAGACGGGATGAAACAAGACGGTTCTAATGATCTCCTGTGACATCATAGAGAGCCTCTGTGACATCATAAATAAGGAACCTCTGTGACATCACAAAGTGCCTGTGTGACATCACAGGGAACATGTGACACACTGGAAGACATAAGAGTTATGTCATAACAGTATGTAACTCCATTTGGGTCTTTGCTTGTCAAAAAATATACACATTAAATAAGACTATTTGACGCGTTAAATAAGATTTTAATTTGACACGTCAAATAACACAATTCTATTATGAATGTTGTGTGTGTTGAATTTGCACATGCAAGACAAGCTCCACCACTGCTATCAGTAGCACTGTATAAACGGTACAAAAAAAAGTCTGCAAACAAGCACACACGGGCCATAAACGATGTGTTTACAATACCGCGTTGGTAATAAGGCATTATTTGTTTGACGGCAACTTCTGGGGTAGCTAGCTAGCTTTAGCTTGGTACCTAGCTAGCACCAAGGGTTCTTATAAATTAGGGTTATTTTAGATGATGACACCTAGCTAGGTAGTTAGCTAGCTAACTATAGCTACTGAAACAGATTATGTCATTTTGCTATGTTTTTTGGGAAGAACATTGTTTGCATCCATCAGCTAGCTCGCTTTTTTAATAACAAAACTTTACCAGCATCATAGCGTACGTATCAATGAATCGTTGTGACATTAAATACGAGTGATAGTGTAATCAATGTGTAATATATACGTAAAAAATATGTGACGTGCAGTCATATTCAGGTCCTGAATGTTCAACAAGCTTACACTTTTGACATTTTTTTGACACGTAAAGACCCAAACGGCGTTCCATATCACACGTCCCAAATGACTGTTAAGCATTTTAAACAGTAACCTACAGTATGCTGTGCAAGTGCTGTAAACCACGGCAACTACACAAGGAGGGACAAACTGGACATATGTAGCATCATCACCAAACTGCAAGAAGCCTCACGCAATGACAATCTCTGGACTCAAAGCCAACCTGCTTGCGTTAATGTAGTATTTAACTAATTTATTATATTTGAATGTCGATTATTTATTTGTTTTAATTTATTATTTATTTGTGATGTTATCCCTGTGATTATTGATTCTGTATGGTAGTGGTGTGAGGTGTGAAAAATAGGAATGCAGAGGGAATGGGTGTGTTTACAGAAAAGAGGATCCAGGTTGGTACACACACTCCATCAGAGTTGGCTGAAAGGTACAGTCATGTTGATTGTGTTATTATTTGGCTGGCTGATCAGTCAGTGGAAGGTTTTATTTGATACTTTCTATCTCTCTCTCTCTCTCTCTCTCTCTCTCTCTCTCTCTCTCTCTCTCTCTCTCTCTCTCTCTCTCTCTCTCTCTCTCTCTCTCTCTCTCTCCTGAATAAATGACAGGCGGTCCGGTCACATGACCAACCCTCAGTCGAGGGGGCGGGGCTCTGAATGTCGACCGTTTACAAAACCAAAAAAAGGAGGGAAGCGCTGTCCCAAATGGCACCCTTTTCTCTACATGGTGTACTACTTTTAACCAGGGCTTATAGGGCTCGGGTCAAAAGTAGTGCACTACGTAGGGAATAACAGGGTGCCATTTGGGATGTCCCCTTAGAGTTTTACTATCTAGACGGACCGTGTAAAGGTTCATCACTGTGTATGATATTTTATAAACCTAGTAGCTGAATGCTGATGTCTGCGTATTACTTTTTTAAATGGGGGGAGGAAGGGGACGCAGGGAGTGTACACTTTGGGGGACGTGTAGAGAATTAGCACACAAGCCTAACGTTATTTGGTTGTAAAAATGGTGGCCATTTTACATTTACAGGATGTGTCCCAAATGGAATCCTATTCCCAGTATAGTGCCCTATGGGCCCTGGTCTAAAGTAGTGCACTGCATAGGGAATAGGGTGCCATTCGGGCCGCTAACACAGTAAGCTTACTAGTTGGTAGGCTGTTGCATTTTTCTATCCACACTTTGAACGTTTCTGGAAAGAGATGTCAAACTCATTCAACCTGCATGTTCACTGTTCAGAAATTAGGATTGTTTCCAACTTGTACACTACATTTCATGTGTTACCTGATTTCATTGCAATACATAGCACATTTCTACATTTTCAATGTTTAGGTAAAGGTGATGGAAAATAGCCCTTCTCCCCTTTGCTGCTGTTTAACATGGGGAGAAAAAAATATTATTTTACATATTCATATTTCTTGTTGGGGAACAAGTTTGACAAACAAACGCTGATCTAGACAGAAGAGTTTCACAACTACTGTGTGCCCAGCAGGATTGGGCTCAATTCCATTTCAGTTCCAGTCAATTCAGAAAGCAAACCATATTCCAATTCCAAATTGTCCTCATTGACAAGCATTGACGAGAATTGGAATTACAATTGGAATTTCAGTGTACTATCTGAATTGACTGGAATTGAAATGGAATGGAGCCCAACCCTGATGTTCACACTTCTAGTTCTTCTATTATATTTGAAATGAAGGCTGCAATGTGTTTTAACCTCCTCTCTGCTAGGGATGAAATATTCCGGTAGGTTTTCTAGAAATCCCGGTTGGAGGATTCCAGATTCCCTGCTTAATACATTCAGATTCTGGGAATCTTTCAACCGGGATTTTTGGAAAAGCCTGGGAATTTTGGGGAAATAACGTTTCTGGTATTTTATAAACCTACTCTCTGCTCACTAAGCATGCCCTGCTAAACCATAACCGTATCTTTGTAAAATCAGGGAAATAACTAAGTAACTGCTGTATGTGAATGACTGAATGAGTGATACTGCTGTCTGCTCTATGCTTTTGTCATGCTCTACTCCCACCATTAAACATACTGAACTATGTTAAGACTCTTTCCTCTCTTCTCCTTCTCTGACCTTTACTGGTTAGTTAGTTTCTCCTTCTTCATGGTTTAGTTAGACAGTAGACAGTGATGAAGAGGTTTAGTTAGACAGTAGATGGTGATGAAGAGGTTTAGTTAGACAGTGATGAAGAGGTTTAGTTAGACAGTAGACAGTGATGAAGAGGTTTAGTTAGACAGTGATGAAGAGGTTTAGTTAGACAGTGATGAAGAGGTTTAGTTAGACAGTGATGAAGAGGTTTAGTTAGACAGTGATGAAGAGGTTTAGTTAGACAGTAGACAGTGATGAAGAGGTTTAGTTAGACAGTGATGAAGAGGTTTAGTTAGACAGTAGACAGTGATGAAGAGGTTTAGTTAGACAGTGATGAAGAGGTTTAGTTAGACAGTGATGAAGAGGTTTAGTTAGACAGTAGACAGTGATGAAGAGGTTTAGTTAGACAGTAGATGTGATGAAGAGGTTTAGTTAGACAGTAGATGGTGATGAAGAGGTTTAGTTAGACAGTAGACAGTGATGAAGAGGTTTAGTTAGACAGTGATGAAGAGGTTTAGTTAGACAGTAGATGATGATGAAGAGGTTTAGTTAGACAGTAGACAGTGATGAAGAGGTTTAGTTAGACAGTAGACAGTGATGAAGAGGTTTAGTTAGACAGTAGATGATGATGAAGAGGTTTAGTTAGACAGTAGATGGTGATGAAGAGGTTTAGTTAGACAGTAGATGGTGATGAAGAGGTTTAGTTAGACAGTAGATGGTGATGAAGAGGTTTAGTTAGACAGTAGACAGTGATGAAGAGGTTTAGTTAGACAGTGATGAAGAGGTTTAGTTAGACAGTAGACAGTGATGAAGAGGTTTAGTTAGACAGTAGACAGTGATGAAGAGGTTTAGTTAGACAGTAGACAGTGATGAAGAGGTTTAGTTAGACAGTAGACAGTGATGAAGAGGTTTAGTTAGACAGTAGACAGTGATGAAGAGGTTTAGTTAGACAGTGATGAAGAGGTTTAGTTAGACAGTAGACAGTGATGAAGAGGTTTAGTTAGACAGTAGACAGTGATGAAGAGGTTTAGTTAGACAGTGATGAAGAGGTTTAGTTAGACAGTAGATGGTGATGAAGAGGTTTAGTTAGACAGTAGACAGTGATGAAGAGGTTTAGTTAGACAGTAGACAGTGATGAAGAGGTTTAGTTAGACAGTAGACAGTGATGAAGAGGTTTAGTTAGACAGTGATGAAGAGGTTTAGTTAGACAGTAGATGGTGATGAAGAGGTTTAGTTAGACAGTAGATGGTGATGAAGAGGTTTAGTTAGACAGTGATGAAGAGGTTTAGTTAGACAGTGATGAAGAGGTTTAGTTAGACAGTAGACAGTGATGAAGAGGTTTAGTTAGACAGTAGATGGTGATGAAGAGGTTTAGTTAGACAGTGATGAAGAGGTTTAGTTAGACAGTAGACAGTGATGAAGAGGTTTAGTTAGACAGTAGACAGTGATGAAGAGGTTTAGTTAGACAGTGATGAAGAGGTTTAGTTAGACAGTAGATGGTGATGAAGAGGTTTAGTTAGACAGTAGACAGTGATGAAGAGGTTTAGTTAGACAGTAGACAGTGATGAAGAGGTTTAGTTAGACAGTAGATGGTGATGAAGAGGTTTAGTTAGACAGTAGATAGTGATGAAGAGGTTTAGTTAGACAGTAGACAGTGATGAAGAGGTTTAGTTAGACAGTGATGAAGAGGTTTAGTTAGACAGTAGACAGTGATGAAGAGGTTTAGTTAGACAGTAGACAGTGATGAAGAGGTTTAGTTAGACGGTAGACAGTGATGAAGAGGTTTAGTTAGACAGTAGACAGTGATGAAGAGGTTTAGTTAGACAGTAGATGGTGATGAAGAGGTTTAGTTAGACAGTAGACAGTGATGAAGAGGTTTAGTTAGACAGTAGACAGTGAT